CTTGAAGATTTAGATTCTGTCCCTATTTCTATCACGGAGGCCCACTATTGCACTGGAACCGCAATTTTCAGATGACCACTGTGTATTTGTTTTCTGCACGTCCAACTTGAGAACCCGCCGTCTGATTTGCAGAAGTCCTGAGCACTTGTATTTGCAAATTAAGTCATTGAGAACCTAGTTTTAAACATACAATAGTACATCAGCGTTATGAACTCCTTAGGAACAGAGGATGTTCGTAACGCTGATATGTTCGTAACTCTGAACAAAATGTTGTGGTTGTTCTTCCAAAAGTTTACAATTGAACATTGACTTAGTATAGCTTGGAAACTTGCAGAAGGAAAACGATGATTTTAACCATCTTAATTTAAATGAAAGAAGCAGAGACAGTATCCTTATCTTGTCAATTTTTTTAAAAAATTTCCCTTTATTTTTTAATAGCTTATGTTTAACATAGTACTATACTGTATTTGCGCTTTTTTTTGTCTCTGCTGTTGCCTGATTGTGTACTTCCAGTAAGTTCATAACTCTGGTGTTCGTAACTCTGAGGTTCTACTGTATACGTACTCTGAGGGCTTGTACACACTAGTGCTTACTTCGGTATAATTTAAGTCATTCAACGGTGTGAAAAAGCCACCCCCGAGTGACATAAATTACACTGACCTATGTGTGGACAACGCTATGTTGGCGGGAGAAGCTCTCCCATCAACATAGCTACTGCCGCTCGGGGACGTGGAGTAATCATACTGATGGGAGAGCTCTCTCCTGTCGGCACAGAGCGTCTGCATTAGCAGCGTTACAGCGGCAGAGTTACATCGGCACAGATGCGCCGCTGTAGTGCTTCTAGTGTAGATTAGCCCTGAGAAAATCAGGTCCAAGTCTTCCCAAATTGGGCAGCCAAAGTTAGTTGACATTCTTTACTTTAATCAGTGTCTTAGTTCCACTGTGTGCAGATAAGGTCATTAAAGTTTGTAAAAAGAAAAGGAGTACTTGTGGCACCTTAGAGACTAACCAATTTATTTGAGCACTGTAGCTCACTTATACTCAAATAAATTGGTTAGTCTCTAAGGTGCCACAAGTACTCCTTTTCTTTTTGCAAATACAGACTAACACGGCTGTTACTCTGAAACCTAAAGTTTGTAAGTAAGTAAGAAAAGATGGGATCATAGAAAAACACATGAGAAAACTGACAATTCAGTGTGGATTTTGGATAGTGTGCAGTAAATAATGCATGTGATACTAAATGACATATTAACTAGTCACCCATTCAGTGAGCACCATCTGTCCGGCTCATTGAAGGAGGTAAGGGTCCTGTGAAAAAAAGACATCTGTGATCATGTAATTAAAGAATGTATCATAATGCATATACACAAGGGAGATGAACTAAGATTGCACAGATTGGAGAGACCTGTGAAATGCAGGATTATATATGCATGCTCAAATCTGTATTATTCTAAAGATTTATTAACAAACAGTGAAAAGCAGTTTATCCATAGTGTTCTTACTGACCAGTGTGATATCTAAAGTTATAGTTTCTAGAGACTAGTGGGAAATGTATCTGTAGCTATTAAGAAACTGTTCAAGGGCTTATCTGCACTGCAGTATACACTCCTGAGGGCTATTCTGTGTCAAAAAATTAAAAATTCTGCTCACAATATTTTACAATTCTGCATAATTCTGCAAATTTTATTTGTGACATAAATGTGGAGGCTCCAGCATGGCACTGGGGAGCACAGGCCACTGGCTACACAAGAGGTGGGGGATCACTGTGCAGCTCTCCCGGCTCCTCGTGAAACACAGACTCAGTGGTGAGGCTGCACCCAACCCTGACACAGCAGAAGGATCGGTCCTGCCCAAGAAACACTCTAGGGCCTTGCCCCTTCATGCCAGGTGCAGCAGGTGCAGGCCGGCAGGCTCCACAAGGCAGGATCCAAGTGTGGAGGGGTTTAGTGCGGAGGGATCCAGGTGTGGGTTGAGAGGGTTCTCTGTGGGGTAATCTGGGTGCAGGCAGCTCAGTGGGGGATCTGGGTGCAACAGTAATGGAACTCTGCAGGGGGGTTCAGGTGAAGGTGGTTGGGGCTCAGCAGGGGGGTCTGGGGATAGAGTTCATCGGGTGGGGTCTAAGTGTGGGAGGGATAGAGCTTGTGAGGGGCGGTCTAGGTGGGGGGCTAAGTTAGGGATCCAGGTGCTGGGGGAGTAGGGCTCAGTGGGGTGGGGATGCAGGTGCAGCTGGTTGGGGCTCAGTGGGGTGGAGATCTGGGTGCAGGGTGAGTGGGGTGGTCCAGATGCAGGGTGAGTGGGGCTCATCGGGGGGGTTCTGAATGCGGGGGGGTGATGCTTGGTGGAAGGAACTGGGTATGAGAGTCTCAGGGGGTGAGGCTTGGAGGAAGGATCTGGGTGTGAGGGGGTCTTGGATGCCTGGGGTTGGGCAGATGGGGGAGCAGCTTCCTGTACAGGGAGCCCTCCCCCTGCAGCTGAGGAGTGATGGGTGCAGGAAGAGGGCTGTGGGGAGGATTTTCAGAGCTTCCTGCATCTGGGGAGAAATCTAGAGGTGGGTCTGATCTGGCCTTGGATGCCGTGCAGGGGAAGAGGAAGTCCCATCCTCCCCAACCCCGCCGGGACTAGCAGCTGAGCTTGCACAGAATAGGAGCCATGAGCCAGGCCTTCCCCAGTCACACCCCCTGCCCCTTGGTGATTTACCTCTCTGCCAGCTGCCCTGGGCACCTGAAACATACTGCTGGAGAGGGTTGCATGACCGCTCTTGTGGATTCCTTTTGCTTCCCTGTCAAAAAGTCATTTTTCTGCGGGGAAGCAAGGAAATCTGCAGGGGACATAAATTTCTGCGCATGTGCAGTGGTGCAGAATTCACCCAGGAGTAACTATAGTGTGGACTGCAAAGTGCACCAAAGTGTTTTACTCTAACTGCCCCCATGTGGAAGCTGCTGATGCAAACTAAAAGGTAGCTAGTTCATGTTAAAGCAAACTGGGCACCTTTTTGTTCATGCCAGCAGCATCCACACTGGGCAGTTAGAGCAAAACACTTTGGTGGCTTTGCAATTCACACACTTGCTGTCCGCACTGTAGTGCAGTGTATCCATAGCCTAAATAATGTATATACCTGAGGGAAGTTATCATCCAAGCGAGGTAGGATGGAGGAGAAAAAATACACAATAAAATACCTGAGTGGGTTATACAAGAGAATATAGCATTGTAAGTATTGTGGATAGTAGCATGGTATAAACAAAAGTTATTAAGAAGCACCTACCACCAAATTCCAAAAATCTGTTTCCACTGTGCTAATGTAAGTCCCATTAAAGGGCACCAGTAAAGCAACAGTTTCCATGTGGTAAGATGCATAAGCCTTCTTTTACAGCATCTGAGTGGTTATATGAACAGATTGCCTCAGTCTTTAGCCAGGATGCTGTGGTATAAGCATAGGCCATTACTGCCAAGCTACATAAATAATGACCCATGGCTGCTTATTTGAAAATCATAACTGCCTTCAAAGATCTTACATTAACCTGGCAACAATTCTCATTCATCTTCACTCCTCTTCCTGTTTCTTGTATTAAACATTTATAATTAACACTTACCCTGCCTTCTTAAGACCAATTTTACAATAAGCAGAAGAGAGAAATTCCATCCACTACAAAACATTAAGTGTGTTTGATGGTTAGTTAATTGCATGACTAGCGAGGTGAGGGACAGAATTTCTAGTTTGCATAGGATCTGTTCCAAGAGTTGGTACTATACATTCTTTTATTGTTTTGGACACATGAACAAAAATGCCTTTCTGAGGTTTCTTTGAATACTGATTTAGTTTTTTGAAAGTATTTGATAAATGCAAAGGTAACCAAGTGAAGAGCGGCACAGAAGATTACATTGAAAATTTAAATAAGATATGGAGAGGTGCATCATGGGGAAATTCTGAGAGATGGCATGATTATAGATAATCAATTCTGTACACTTAAACAGATAATTACAAAACATTCATTAGAAGAATTCACATCAGTTATAAAACACTTTCCAGATTGCAGGTCCCTTTGGCCCTAACATGTTTTGATCTTATTTAAGCATGTCCAGTCTTGGAAAGTGGACTGGATATAAGATGGGGTAGAAAGGGGTTATTGTTTGAAATAAAATTATTTTAGGCTGTTTTCCCTCAGCAAGTCTTCACATTTCATGCCAGACTAGTTTATTTTCAATGCATCAATTATTTTTTTCTGTTACAACTGAATAGTATTTAAGGTGTTTGGCAGCTACTCTTCAACAGTTTACTGGTGATGGTTTCTGGTGTTACTGTGATGTGTTCTCAATTAGATTAAATATATAGGCACATTAGGCTGCTTCACAAAAATTGAGCTACAAGGATTCCTGAGGAGAAACTTTCTAACAGGCCGTGTATGAGTCTGGCTGGTTTTCTTTAGCTTGCAATACAAGCTTTACAAATTATCCTCACTCTAATACCAATTTCCAAAAAGTAGTCTTTCCAAAAATACTTAAAACCTATTTCCTAAATGTTAGTCAGATAAATCACTTATTTGAATCCAAATGAAAACTGTGACACTGATAGACCAGGTGCCAGCTCATGTCAAGGCTCCTAGGCCTCACTGAACACTGACAAATGCATAGTTGGAAACCAGTCTGGCTCACCTGTGTGTTAGCATTGTTAAAATAGATGTTAAGTCTATAAGAACGTGTTTAGTCTTTATGAAATGCTTGTAGGATGCTGCATGTATTGATCTCACTTATAACATGTATTCCATGTATTACATTGAGAATTTGCATTGTAAACCTCTGTAACTGTGTAACTCGAACAGAAAAGAAGCATTAATTAATGTAAAATGCTGATCCTGCAACAAGCCTGGTGCCAAGATAGACTGGAGTACCCAAAGGAGACTGTCTGTGACTCCACAGTTAGGCTGCTACAGTGCATGAGGATTAAGAAAAATAAATGATTTATTTACAAGGTTAAGGCCTTAACCTTGTAAATAAATCATTTATTTTTCTTAATTGATACATCTTTAGTTAGTTTGTTGCAGGATTGGCTACAAACATTGTCTTTGCTGTGAAAACTGAGATACAGTTTTCCTTTGGTAAGTAACTGGTCCTTTGGTAACCTGATTATTGTTGTGATTTTTTTATGTAAGGGACCATGTATCACAAATGTAAGTTTGCCTGGTGCCAAGATAGACTGGAGTACCTAAAGGAGACTGCCTGTGACTCCACAGTTAGGCTGCTATAGTGCCTGAGGAATTCACACTTGTTACTTGGTTGGTGAAATCTAAGTATAGAACTCACAACCAATTTGGGGTTTGTGCCCTGGTTTGTAACAGTCTGTCCTGAGGCTGGAACTCAAGTTTGTGAGCCACTCCAGATGGCTTGACAAAAACAGACAGACATATATACATATACCCCACACACCCAGGAAACAGCTTAAGCAGTGCCACATTGCCCACTGCTAACATCACATAAAAATACTTAACCTACGTTGCATTTGTTGCTAAGTAGATTAAGGTATACAGTTTCAAGCTGGAGCAATTCACTTTCTAAGCACTCAGGTCCGGTCTGCTCTAGAATGCTAGTAGGTGGCCAAGCGAAGCAAGGCCCTACAGGCAACTTCATGGCATTTCCCTGTTTGCTTGTGTGTAATGAGATACTTTGGAACACTGCATCCAGGCACTTCCAGAGTTGCAGGGAATGTTCAGGGCATCAATAGGCAGAACCTATTGATTTTGCTGAAAATGGGGGGAAACTGGAAAAGCCCGACTCAGAGGAAAATCTAAGCCTCCAGACTAATCAGTGCTGGAGGCTCTCTAGGCTCTCCCTGCTGCTGCCTACAAATATCAGAGGGAGCAGAATAACTTGCTGAGTGGGAAGATTGAACTCAAGGCTATAGTCAACAGAAATAAGAAGGTCTAACAGAAAGGTTTTTTTAAGGGAAAGTGGGTTCTAGGGTGGAGGTGTGGGGGAGAAGAGACCAGAAGTGGGGAGGAAGCAGGGGCCCCATGGAAGGAAGGAAAATAGTGGTCATGGGGGAAGTGGAGTTGGAGGGGAATGTAGGGAAGCAGGGACCCAGAGTGGAGATGGAGGCAAAAGCAGGGACCCAATGCAAGGGAGAGCAGGAACTGTTTAACAAACCTTAGTTTTTCTGCTCAACCTCTGCAGTTATTGACTCTGACAGAAGAGTCCCATGTAGAGGAGATTCCTAGCCAGGGCTTGAGGGGGAAAGAAGGGTTCTATTGGGAGAAGGGTGTGAACTTCTGGGATCAGGAGGGAAGAGGATGGGGGCTCCAGGTCACTGGAGGGTAAAGGACAAAGCAAGTCGAGTATAGGAGCTAAGGAATATCTTTAACTCCACCCATGCCCCCCATCATCTCCATTTTTCCTCCCACTCCCGACATCCTCTCCCTCACTAAGTTGCTGCAGACAGTGGAATCTCTGTGGTGCCCCTTGCTGATGCCTACACACATCACAGGTGGAAATAGCTCACTTTCGCATAGGTTGTACAGCTAGGCCTACAGAAGGAACAAAATGTGTGACCGTCAAGTTACACTGTTGTGAAATGGAATGCTGTATGGCCATCTCTAGCATTTTTCTGCGGAGAAACAGGTTTTCAGGGGGTGCTGGAGCTAGTGTCATGATGATACTAGAATCTCGGCCGCCTCACGAAGTTCATCCCTGCCTGAAGCCAGCAAAGTATCTCCCTTTCGTTCACTATTCTCAGAGCAGGGAAGGGAGGAGGAGGAAGCAGAGAGCCCAGCATAGATCCACTCCCTCCTGAAAGAAAGAATGACAGAACAGCACTTCTTCTCCTCCCACATTCTGCTATGGCAGACACTCAGAATGTTTCAGTCTTTCCACATTCAAAACATTTAAGCAGGTCCTTAATCTGGGTCCCTTCCCTCCCATGCTGCTGTCTTTTCTTATGCTCATACTGCCTTCTGTTGCACTCAAATCTTCTGTGCACCAGAAACACACATGAAAACAACAGTGGTTTCCCAACCAGTGCTGCTGCGTCCCAAATCTCACCATCTCTCCTTTTCTGCTGCATGGCCCACTGTTCCTTTTGCTGCTGCCACTGCTACTCCAGCAAAAAAATTGCCCACAACCACTGTTGCTGTTAGAACAGTAAAAGAAAACATCCTCTATTCTCTACTATGCCTTGATGAGAAGGGGTCCACAGGATCCTGCCAACTACACCAATTTCTAACTAGCCAGCCACCACTGCCTCATGGCCAGTCATGGCTATATGGTACCCTGCCTGTTTGCCCTTTTCAGGGCCTTTTAAGAACTCCACACAGTGCCTGGGGCTGGTTTAATAACCAACACACCACTCCTGTCTGGGGCTGGTTTAACAACCAAAACAATCCTTAAGGTCCCAAAATAAAGTCCATCACCACAACACAAAAATTCATACTCAGCTCTGGCTTCTTCTAACATACACAGAGCTCTTCTTCTGTCCCAGCATGCTCTTCATAAACTCACTTATTTCAGTCCTTCCTAGGTGGAGCTCAGCCTTCGACTCTGTCTTTCAGGCACAAACCCTTCTCCCAGTCAGTAGTCTTCTGTAGGGACCTCCTATACACTACAGCTCTATACCACAAATTCCTCGCCCAGGTTCCTGTTCCCCTCTGACTCTTTAGAAACCAGCTGTCCTCTGTCAGATCTCATCAAGAGACTGTTAATGGTCCCATTCCACCCTGTGACAGTGAGCAATGCTCACACACACACACAGAGGATGGGTAGGGGAAATTCAAAAATCAAGAGACCATAACCACAATATTATCTTTTTTTTATCTCAATTTTCGGGGGCACTCATCATTTTGGGAGGTCCAACGCATGATTTTTGATCTCTTGAGATTGGCAATATTGGGAATAGTCTCCGACAATCAGAGCCTTGTGAAGTTACTAACTCACAACTCTGTGATTGTCATTAACTATACAGCCTGCAGATATCTGCACTAAGATTGGCTGAAGACATTAGTAGCTAGTCAGAGCACAGAGCAGCTAGGCAAAGTGTTCTCTAAGTCAGTGTAAGAAAACAGGCAATGAAGCAGGATCCAGAATAGTGTCAGCTCATCAGGATAGGCAAATCCTACCTAATTTTGTGGCAGTTGAACACTTTTTAAGTACAGACAGTTGTTTTTATTGTTCTTTCTTAAGAGGTTCACATTACTGCTTGACCCATTGTTGATTTCATCCAGAATGTTCTAGCCCAGAAGTTTTCAAACTTTGGGATACCTTTTCAAGCCAAGGGGGGAAATCCCTGGTTTTATTACATTAAGACTGATGAAGAAGTAGATCTAATTGCTGCTCCTTCAAGGTCAAAGCTTGAGGTGTGGCCCCTACCTGGCTCCTGGAAAAGGAGGTACTAATAACCCTCCTGCCTGTAGGAATGGCCATTTCTCTGTGAAGAGAAACTAACAAGTAGTATGAAAGTTATTCTATTCTCTCTTCCCCACAGAAAAGAGGATTAGGGGGGGTTTCCTTTTCTCTCCACCCACATGAGCATAGTCAGCGACGAGTGTCTCACAACTCCTTACCTCTCTCTCCTCAATTTCTTTGGCTCCTGAGAATTATGCCTCATTTCTCACATACTGGTTACAGAGCACAGTGCAGCTCTCAGGAACCATTGAAGTAGATCAGTCAGGGAGAACAGAAGCTTCCTATTTCTTACAACAGCAACACAATTTTGAAAAATAGAAATGATTAGAGAGAGGATCCTCCCTATTGAAGCCTCTTGTTTACAAACTGAAAACAGGCCACACATTTGTTTATTATGCAGTAAATATAATGGCGACACACTTTCCACCATGTAGATCAGAGAATAGCAAAAAATGCTCCAGAGATCCTAACTCAGGGGTTATAGTTGGTCTGAGGGAGCGTTTTCTGTACAGAAGTGAGATGGGGAAGGGGGAGGCAGTGCCAAGCAGCCACACAAATGTTCTTGGCCCTCTGATTTATCCATGTTCAATGCATATCTTGGAGTTTCTGTGCACTTGGGAAATTAAACCTTTTGCCAGTTCCATAATAAACCCCATCTCATGCTCAGACAGAACAATTCCAAGAATACATCACAAGTAGATACAGAGTTTTGTTGTTCTTATGTGAGCGAATCCATGTAGGGATAGCATGTGGCTTAAAGTGTGTAGCAACTCATGCTAATAGCTAATCATGGCTCTGTGTCTCTCTTGCTGTAAATATCAGATCCGATGACTGGCTTTTACTATTTTTGTTCTATGGCAGACAAGGCTTACAAATCAGCTGCTGACTCCCATAGCCGCCTCCCTCCTTCACAATTCACTGAACCACAATATGAGGTTACTGTACATATTGTAAGTAGGGACATGAAAGAACTATGTGTAGCACAGTGATCTGAAATGAAAACAATAAGGTCAAGAGTGTAGGCAAGCAGCTTCAGTTTAATTTCAAATCTCCCGATACTTAGCACGGAACAGCTGTATCCTGAAGATAGTACATTTGGCCTATAGATAGGAATAAGAAAGGATTTACCAGCAAGAAGATAAGTATAAGTGTGTGCCAATATATTATTGTAGGAGGTAGCTCTCTATAAAACTAATATAAGTTACCGTGATATAAACGAAAATAGGTATGTTGTTTTTATGATGTAAGAGGGTCCCAGCCACATGAAGCAAAACCTGTAAATAACTTTTGAGGATTTCTGGCAAAATAGAGCTACTGTCCTAGAGGTCAGATCAGAATTGGACACCTAATCAAATAGAAGTATATCCTCTGAGTTTGGGTGATGTGCCCTAAGAGCCTGATCTAAAGCTTACTGAGGTAAAGGAAAAGACGCCATTTGACATCAGTGGACATTGGATGACCCTGTCTTCCTCAATTGTGGAAAGAAAATAAGAAATGGGCTAGACTTTCCCAGTAAGAGAAACTGAGCTCCCACAATAGACAGCTTCTCTTTACAGTGTATCTGAGAGAAGACAGGATAAGGAAGGATAAGGAAGTTGAGTGCCTAACTACCATTTGTAATTTTTGAACATCACCCCCTGGGTCTTCCCAGTGTGTCCACAAAGACAACCAGAGACAATCAGAGCACCACATTCAAGGACAAGAAAATCTAAGAATCTTAACTCTGTATATCTTGCACCTTCTTCCAGTGCTCTCACCCTGCAGCTGTATCAGTTAAGTCTTCTCTAGATTCACACCCAGTTACCAATGTATAATTTGCTTCTCTCCTACAAACCTTTATACGTTACCTGTGAATTTGGCTCACTAGGCCCTGGTCTATAGGAGTTGAGGTCGAATATAGCAGTGTTAAATCTATTTAAATCTGCACCCGTCCACACAACGAAGCCCCTTTTTTCAACTTAAAGGGCTCTTAAAATCGATTTCTTTACTCCACCCCCGACAAGGGGATTAGCGCTGAAATCGGCCTTGCCTGGTCGAATTTGGGGTAGTGTGGATGCAACTCGGCAGTATTGGCCTCCGGAAGCTATCCCAGAGTGCTCCATTGTGACCGCTCTGGACAGCACTCTCAACTCAGATGCACTGGCCAGGTAAACAGGAAAAGGCCTGTGAACTTTTGAATCTCATTTCCTGTTTGGCCAGCGTGGCAAGCTGCAGGTGACCATGCAGAGCTCATCAGCAGAGGTGACCATGATGGAGTCCCAGAATCGCAAAAGAGCTCCAGATGGACCGAATGGGAGGTACGGGATCTGATCGCTGTATGGGGAGAGGAATCCGTGCTATCAGAACTCCGTTCCAGTTTTCGAAATGCCAAAACATTTGTCAAAATCTCCCAGGGCATGAAGGACAGAGGCCATAACAGGGACCCGAAGCAGTGCCGCGTGAAACTTAAGGAGCTGAGGCAAGCCTACCAGAAAACCAGAGAGGCAAATGGCCGCTCTGGGTCAGAGCCCCAAACATGCCGCTTTTATGATGAGCTGCATGCTGTTTTAGGGTGTTCAGCCACCACTACCCCAACCGTCTGCTTTGACTCCGTCAATGGAGAGGGAGGCAACACGGAAGCAGGTTTTGGAGACAAGGAAGATGATGAGGAGGAGGTTGTAGATAGCTCACAGCAAGCAAGCGGAGAAACCGGTTTTCCTGACAGCCAGGAACTGTTTCTCACCCTGGACCTGGAGCCAGTACCCCCCGAACCCACCCAAGGCTGCCTCCCAGACCCGCCAGGCGGAGAAGGGACCTCTGGTGAGTGTACCTTTTTAAATAGTATACATGGTTTAAAACAAAGCGTGTTTAATGATTAATTTGCCCTGGCATTCGCGGCCAGTACAGCTACTGGAAAAGTCTGTTAAAGTGTCTGGGGATGGAGCGGAAATCCTCCAGGGACATCTCCATAAAGCTCTCCTCGATGTACTCCCAAAGCCTTTGCAAAAGGTTTCTGGGCAGGGCAGCCTTATTCCGTCCACCATGGTAGGACACATTACCATGCCAGGCCAGTAGCACGTAGTCGGGAATCATTCCAGAACAAAGCATTGCAGCGTATGTTTGCTGGCATTCAAACAACATCCGTTCTTTATCTCTCTGTGTTATCCTCAGGAGAGTGATATCACCCTGGTTGAAATAGGGTGCTTTTCCTAAGGGGACATTCAGAGGTGCCCGTTCCTCCTGGGCTGTTTGCCTGTGGCTGAACAGAAATGTTCCCCGCTGTTAGCCATGCAGTGTGGGGAGGGGGGAGGGTGAGCCACACGGTGGGGGGAGGTAAAATGCGACCTTGTAACAAAAGCACATGTGCTATGTATGTAATGTTAACAGCAAGGTTTATCGTGAAAGAGTGTACCCATTGTTCTATAAAATATGTCTTTTTAAATACCACTGTCCCTTTTTTTTTTCTCCACCAGCTGCGTGTGTTTCAGGATCTTCTCCTTCCCAGAGGCTAGCGAAGATTAGAAGGCAAAAAACGGCACTCGCAATGAAATGTTCTCTGACCTCATGCTGTCCTCCCACACTGACAGAGCACAGACGAATACGTGGAGGCAGACAATGTCAGAGTGCAGGAAAGCACAAAATGAACACGAGGAGAAGTGGCGGGCTGAAGAGAGTAAGTGGCGGGCTGAAAATGACAGGTGGCAGCAGCTTGATGAGCGGAGGCAGGATCAATGCTGAGGCTGTGAGGAATACAGTTTATTAAATTAGGTTTAGTAAAGGACTCTTTCAGTGAATTTTTAAGTGATCTTATTGAATTTCTGATCCCTTACACAAAGATTATTTAAATTTTCATAACGACTTTGTGTTTCACTATTGTCCTTAATTTTTTAATTTGTAAAGCATGATTACTTTCACATTAAACTGCACTGGGCTACTGTAGCTCTTCAAACGCTGGAAACCAGATGTGAGCAGTAGGGAATGACAAAGCCTCTCAGACTTCACTTGAAAACAAAATAGGAAAAGTATAAATATTCATGTTGCCTTAAAACTTGTGCAAAATTAAAGATTTTTTAAACAATACCCAAATAATAAGATATATTGAAAAAATAAATTTAGGTTTGGTATCATCCCCAATAAACTCTTGTAACATCCAACTTTTCTTCTGAAAACTTTCTCAAAATCCATTTGCAGGGTTCATAAATTTTATTGGAGAAATTTAGCATCAGTGTTGGCATCCACTTGTCAACAAGGATCTTGGAGAAAAATTGGAAGGGGGCACCTATTATCTTTTTACATCATAGATTCCCAGGGCCCATTCAGTGGTAGCAGAGTTTAGTAAATATAGTTTTCATGATGATGTGGTCTGTCTGACAGACCATTTCAGCGTTTACAGGGGATCCTGTGTGATGTTGGATTGGCTCTGGGGTTTCTTCATCAGTTTTTTGAATGAATTACTGCATGAATTTTATTGTCAGAATTATTTATATTTCACAAATTTTAGAGATGTTTCATACAATAAAACTAGTTTCCCATTTCTTCTGGATTGCAAGAATTTTCTTAAAATTGTGCTTTACAGAATCCAGTTTTTATCTAACAAGATGATATTGTTTGAAGGAAAGTTCCTGGGGTATTGTTTCTTCTGTGGAAAGAAAGCAGACTTTTTAATTCTAAAGCTTTGTCATCATCATACATGTTAAACTGAATCATTGAAGGCTAACAATTAATTGGTTCTATTCTAGTATCCTGACAAATTAAGTGAGTCTGTTTGCACAAGTGGTTATAAATTGCTGTATGATTCACAGGGGTCAATTAAGATTATGCTAGGCCTATCTCCACTAAAGTTTTGGACACTTTCTCATCGCTCTCTTTGCCCCCCGCCTCCACCAAATAAATAAAAATGTTGGCTTCCCTAGATAGCAGTGTGAACTATTTTTGCTGACCAAGGCTACGTCTACGCTGCAATCAATAGATGTTATTTGCAGCTTGGGTAGGCATATATGTGCTAGTTTTAATCTAGTTTGCATGGTTAAAAATAGCAGTGCAGATGTGGTGGCACAGGCTTCAGTAGAAGCTTGCCCAGTTCCTCTGGGTACATACATAGGTAGCCCGTGCTATGGCCTATACCACTACATCTTCACTGCTATTTTTAGTGTGCTAACTAGATTAAAAGTAGCGCAGGTAAACCTACCCAAACTGCAAATCAGCCTAAGTCCGATCTATATGACTTCCAGCTGTTACCTTACCCCTCTTCCTCGCTTTTCCATGAATCACATAACATTTCATGACCAAACAATGGATGGGGGTACCATTAACATAGAATTCATCTTCTTTTCCTAGTTGGTGGCCTGTTTCTATCAGAAAAGGAGTACTTGTGGCACCTTAGAGACTAACCAATTTATTTGAGCATAAGCTTTCGTGAGCTACAGCTGACTTCATCGGATGCATAGCTGTACAGTATGCCAGCTGTTGCCCAATATCTGTACCGGTTCCCTCTTTCACCATTAAGTCTAGAACGTAAAGCTCCTGCCTTAATCCTCCCTGGACTGACTCAGCACATCTGAATTCTTGGGGTCAAATAACTTCACATCAAATGGTAATTTAATGAGCAGGACATGAAAAAAAAGCAGCATGTTTGGCTTCAAAGCTGTGTTGAGATCTGAAAGTAATCCATGACAGGCCATATATCTGAAAGTCTTGATGAATGTGTATTAACCCCTATGAAAGCTTACTGTAGTTTATACAGAGTAATAGTAAATCATGCGTATAACAAAGATCACCCAGCACAAAATGCCAAAAGGGGAAAAGAATATTTGGAAATGGCTTAACCAGCTCATCTGATGATGGATCAAAACTTACAGTGCATACTAAGATGTTTTTACAAAATGTCTCCAGTTCATGTTTCTTTATTGAATTCTATCAGGTATTTCTTTTTTTAATTGTGTACTGACAACATGGAATTTCATTTTGCAGATGTTTTGTAACAAGCATTTCTGCTTTAGTTAAAAAGGAAAAATCTATGAACAGCAGAAAAGTAACCTCTAGCTTCAGAATAGAAGCTGATACTTACCAGTGCTTGTTACGGGGGAGAGAGCACAAAAGAGACAAAAGCCAGTTGAAGGGGAGATAGAGAAGACAGAAATGATGGGAGTGGGAGCCAAAAGGATATGACATGAGAGCAAAGAATGAAGCAGCTCTTGAGTTTTTGCATGAGTATTGAGCTCTGAGGAGGAACAGTGATCAGAGCTGTGCAACTGGAGGAATGCCTCCAAAACAACAGCAACCAACTTCCTGCACCCAGGGCCGTCCCTAGCAATTCTGGGGCCCTTCGCAGACTCCCACCCCCATGGGCTTGGGGGTGAGGGGAAACCACCCCCCAGAACTCACCGGCGGCATGGCTGGGGCTAGGTTGCTGCACTTCCCACAGCCGGTGAGAGCAGGCCCAGACCCCCTGCACTCCTCAGGGGAATGGGGGGGGGCTGGGGCAGAGCAGGGGCAGGAAGAGAGGGAGCAGGGGCTGGTGCAGCAGAGGGCACCAGGAAATTTGGTGCCCCAAATTTCCTGGTGCCCTACAGAGCTGCGTACTTTGTTTTTAGGGGTGCAGGCAGGGCCGTTCTTACCCATATGCAAAGTCCCAGCCCTAACAAGCACAGCATACTTAATGAAATGTAGAGAACACCATATTTACTGTTGATTAAGCTGAAGTGCATGGGACACATAACAGAGTGTTGGATGGTAGAATGTGTATGAATTAGCAATAGCCTTCTTGGGTACACAATGGAATAAAGAAAATCAGTTGACACAGAGGAGCATTTCTTTCTAATATGTTGATAAAGAAACAATTCAAAGAGTTGTCTTACAGCTGAGAAACAATTCTGGGAACTGCAAATTTTTACACAACCATTATTTAAGCGGGGGGGGGCATGACAATGAATGGGTGTGGATAAAGTTGCCTATTTGGACATAATCAAAGTAAAGAACAATGATCAAAATACATTGTAGATAATCAGATAAAATATCAGTTTAGGTTTTTTAAACTAACATTTAATGAATACAAAAGAAAACAAATAGCAACAAAAATATTCAACAGAGCATTAAACATGGTAATTGTCATGTTAAAAGCACAAGCTACAAACAGAACTGTGAAGTTAATAGCACCACTTCAATCAGTTTTATCATTAGGAGTCAAATAGCTGAGAAATATTTTAAACTGATCCTAGCTTACCTTTTCTTGGGAATTTTTCTATTATAAAATACAACCATAGTTCTCTGACTTACCCCTGCAATACAACTAATGGACCTAATGCTAAATAGACATCCACACTCATGTAAGGCTTAAATGGAGTGGAAATGTAGATCACTGCCACACAGAGTGACTCAGGAGCCCTGCCCCTCTTCCAGGACTGTGGAGTAAGTTTTCATGATGCCTTTTCATTTGGACCAAAAGCATGAATATTTGGAGAGCATTACTAGTGGATCACACACTGAATCCACAAGGTTTAAACCACATGCTAGAAGGGAGCAGTAAACCATATTCACAATTCCATCTCTCAGCATACAGTAGCAGACACTGTGTGCATGATGGTCCTGAGTCACATGTTGGAACCAAAGATTCAGCCCTGCCATGCTTCAGAATATTTTCCTTGAAGCACTGTCCTTTAGCTTGGGCTATCTATTTAACAATTTTTAGCTTTACTGTGTGAATAGTCATTACACATTGTTCCATGGTTCACCTTGGTAGAAAATAACTTCACCTATATTTGGATCTTCATTTCTGTTGGTGTGTTAGATTGGCATTCCTACTTTATAGAAAAAATAATAATTCTTTGTAACTTCAAAATGCAAATATTCCTGAGAATGTGTCAGATGTTTTAACGTATGGTACACAAACTAATTAAATCCCATATGTCTAAGAATTTGCTGTTCCTGGAATAATTTTGACAGTATGGAACACAATTTGCATTTGTTTATGCCTGCTGTTGCTTACTGCCTATGGAAATATAATGTCTTAGCATTGTAAGGCTATATTATGGTAGATTTTCAGATTATATTCTGTGTGATATTTCTTTTGATCTCTCTTTCAGTGCAACTGAAATATACTTTCTGGAGAGGATATTACAGATCAGCTTCACTTTGTAAGGAACTCCCTCTTCTCATTTACTGCCTTTAACTGTAAAACAACGTATAGAGGAGAAGCTTGTGAAAATCTGTTTTACTTGTACCAGGCCTAGAGTAGAATTGCTTTCTTACAATGCATATTCATATGTACAATTATTATTTATTACAGTAGTGCCTAGAGGTTCCAGTCATGATGGAAGATCTATCATTATGCTAAAGCACAGAGTAAAAAACAGTCCTTGCTCTAAAGAACTTGCAATCCAAACAAAGAAAAAAAGTAGTTACCAACAGCTCAAAAATACATAGAATGTTGATCACATTTCCCCGAACCAGCCTTTCCTGTATTCTATGTATATGCCACAACCAACCCATAGTGGCCACCTCTCACCAGGCCCACCCCAAAAAAATTGCTAAAGCTTAATCTGAGCGAATAAAACAAAGACAGTCAGAAAATCAGACTGGTGAAAAGTGTCTCAGAGCCTGCTTCTGGTTCCCATCTTCTCTGCTCCATGTGGAAGGACCTGGGGGTAGCTCCTGGCAAGGTGTCATAAATATAAAGGGAAGGGTAAACCCCTTTGAAATCCCTCCTGGCCAGAGGAAAAACTCCTCTCACCTGTAAAGGGTTAAGAAGCTAAAGGTAACCTCGCTGGCACCTGACCCAAATGACCAATGAGGAGACAAGATACTTTCAAAAGCTGGGAGGAGGGAGAGAAACAAAGGGTCTGTGTGTCTGTCTGCTGTTTCTGCCGGGGATAGACCAGGAATGGAGTCTTATTACTTTTAGTAAGTAATCTAGCTAGGTATGTGTTAGATTATGATTTCTTTAAATAGCTGAGAAAAGAATTGTGCTGAATAGAATAACTATTTCTGTCTGTGTATCTTTTTTTGTAACTTAAGGTTTTGCCTAGAGGGGTTCTCTATGTTTTGAATCTAATTACCCTGTAAGGTATCTACCATCCTGATTTTACAGAGGTGATTTCTTTACTTCTATTTACTTCTATTTCTATTAAAAGTCTTCTTGTAAGAAAACTGAATGCTTTTTCATTGTTCTCAGATCCAAGGGTTTGGGTCTGTGGTCACCTATGCAAATTGGTGAGGCTTTTTATCCAACATTTCCCAGGAAAGGGGGTTGCAAGTGTTGTTCTTAAGATCCAAGGGTCTGGGTCTGTAGTCACCTAGGCAAATTGGTGGGGCTTTTTACCAAACCTTGTCCAGGAAGTGGGGTGCAAGGTTTTGGAAAGTATTTTGGGGGGGAAAGATGTTTCCAAACAGCTCTTCCCCAGTAACCAATATTTGTTTGGTGGTGGTAGCAGCCAATCCAAGGACAAAGGGTGGAATATTTTGTACCTTGGGGAAGTTTTGACCTAAGCTGGTAAAGATAAACTTAGGAGGTTTTTCATGCAGGTCTCCACATCTGTACCCTAGCGTTCAGAGTGGGGAAGGAACCTTGACACAAGGTCTTCTGGGAGAGAGTGCCAACATAGCCCATTCCTCCCCCTGCAGTCACTGGCAAGCAGCTCCAGGCTACTTGTCAGCTCCCTGTGTTGGGGAAGATGGAGAGAAGAAAAGGAGTTCCTGGTGTCGTCTCATGAAGCAATATTCAGAGTTTTTCCATTTGAAAGCCAATCCCCCCCCCCCCCGAAAAAAAAACAAACATCCCCTTTGTTTAGGACAGACCCATTTGCCAATTTCTGCTTTGGCAGAGCTGTGGGGTTATAAATATGTGTTAATAGTATCATACAGGGGAATTTTACAGCTTCACATACAATGTTACACATTTTATCAGGACAAGACTGATCAGCAAATTATGTGTTTTCAAAATGATGTCTTACATGGCATACCTTGAACAACAGTATTGTGGTGGAATGCTTGTAAGCATGAACGCTCAGTAAAGGAATATGAAGATAGACCACTTCTGGTCAGGGGTTACAGCACAGGAAGATGTCAAGGTAGTATACAGGAATGGGTGCCCAGTGAGCTTACAGGAAGGGATGTAAAGATCATATCTTGATTTTTGTGGCTGCACATTTATATTGCATTAACCTTGAAAACACATTAAAAAAAGCTACCTCATGCTCTGCCCTATAGCTCAGAGCATGGTGGCTGCTGCGCTGTGTAGCACTGATAGAGGCATATGGATGTGTGAATGCCTACTATGTTAAAGGGGTGGTGGGAGAGGGGGAAGATAAAGGTTGAGCATGATGTTAGCATGCAGAGAAGACAAGACCTCTATCTCTTGCTCTAATTCTCCTTCTGAAGGGTAAAGGGTTTCCTGGTCTGTTTCCTAACTCTCGATAGATGAGGAAGGTCTCCTTTCTCTCTCTTCCTTCCTTTGCTTCCTGTAGATGAGGAGTGGAAGGGAACTCTCCCCTCTGCTTCTCTATGAACTTGATGGGGAGGAGTCTCTCCCCCCCCCCCCCACTTTTGGTGATTGAAGGAGTCTCCTCCTTCTGGATTTCTGATAGGAAGGTGTCAAACTGAGAAGGGGATGGTCATGCCTAATGGTTAGAGCATTGGTGATTGGGCCTAGAGATCAGGCTGGGACTCTAGCTAAGTGTCAGAGCAGAAATGAAGAATAGAATTGGAACAAGGAACAGTCTGTCTGAACCACCAAGTGGCAGGAATTACTCCCAGCAAAGTAGTGATGTTGAGCAGATTGAAGTGGCTGCTGTCAATGGGAGCCAATATTCCTGGCCTTGGAGGTCACCTAGTTAGACCTTCACTTGTTGATTGTCAATCAACCAGGGCTCAGCCATAGAATCCTCAGGTAATCAGGCTCAGAGATGACTAAAATTAAAGATTTTTGTCAATTCACTGAAGCCTGCAACCTGTTTGACTTTTACTAAAAATAGCCAAGGGGTGGGGGAGGAAGAGAGATCAACAGTGGGAGCTCCACAGGGGGCTGACCACAGCTGCTGCTCCAGCCCTGCTGCTGCTGCTCCTGTGGCAGGGGCTGACTCAGCCCAGACACTGTTCCAGCCCCAGGCCACTGCTCTGCCAGCCGCAGCAGCAAACCTGGCCCTAGCCACTGCTCCCATGGCTGACTGCTGCTCTAGTCCTGACGCGGCTCCTGGGCAGGAGCTAGCAGCTTCTCCAGCCCTGCCACTGTGGCGGGCTGAAGCCAAAGAAATCATGGAGGTCTGATAAAAATCAGAGAATCCATTACTTCAGTGACAGAATCATATCCTTACAGAGGACTCATTACTGGATGATACATTCCCCACCCCCCATGAGGAGCTGGGACAGCAAATGTCAGGATATTGGGATTGCTCCCCGTACACAAATGGAAAAGAGATAGAAGGACCTTCTCTGCCTCCTTACAATGAGTGACTATGGTGCCACCTTTCTCCTCTTATTCACTCAACCTTGCAGTAACAGTGACATGCAAGTTGAAGAGCTTGCAGTCTTGCAAAGCAAGTATCTTACAACTTGAGCATGTGTGATAGAGTATATCAGCTCTGTACTGAAACCAGGAAAATCATCTGGTAATCACAATAAAACAATTGACAAAAGAGGTAGTGTTGGGTATATTTACATACCATTTATAATGACCTTATTACAATTCTTTACATGAACATAAAATGGCTTGCACAACAAGACTGATCATCTGTATTAGTTTTACATTAATGTATTCCTTTTAGTTTATAATTTAACTTTGACTCAATTTTGCACTTGTGAAAAATGATGGCTAAAGAGCCCAGCACCCTGAAGCCTGACATCCAAGATGGGGTAGCACAGGCAGCAGCATGGTAACATTCCCCCTACAAGCCGGAGCCACTCTGTCTCAATCTTGCTCTGACAGGCCCATTCAGTCCTGAGGCAACAAGGACACCAATTGGTGGTAGAGATTTGTGACTTAGACATTTGGAAGTCACTGAGGCTATTAACTCATTTCATGTAAGGTACTAAACAGTCATCTGCTGTTCCAGAAATGCAGCCACTACCAATTTAAACTGAATTTGAACTGGTAGATTAAGGTGAAAAGATCCATATCTGATTACTAACATCTTGAGCCAGATCGTACGACTCTGTTAACTATTGTGTATATATATGTGTCTTTCTGTTAATAAACTGAATACTAATTAATCCCCTAAATTAAAGTATTAATTACAAAAAGTTTGTATCATAACTAACACCCAAAGTTCAATAATTAGTGTGAAAAGCGGAAATGTCATCTGCCCTTCAAAATGGCTTTGTAATTAGCTGAAAAATCTGGGCCTGCAATCCAATCCAATAGGTGCTGATCAGTGCCGCTCCTGTTTGTCCTTGACTCTACGCTCATTAACAGAGCTGAAATCCAAACAGGCTATATATGATATAAATTTGGAGGGTCTTCTATAGCTCCCTCTTATCCTATGACTATTGTCCACCTCCAGGCACTCAACACTAGTCTCCATCATAACTGACATGTGTGACAACCACTTCAGCATACAAGCTTCATCTTCACCTGTCTTCTAGGCTCCCTGGCCGCTGATGACACCATGCATGAAATCTAAGAGTATGGAGCTGAAGTACAACTTTCCAGACAGTGAGCAGATGTACTGTTAGAGACTTCAGTATCTGCCATGGCCCTCTCCTGGGAGATGGGATATTCAGAAATTGATGGCTGTCGGCTAGGTTGGATGTGTGCAATTACAAGGTCCTTTGAGGCTCCGGAGATCTAAGGCATATGGTGATCAACATAATTATGGCCAATTTCTTTAGAGTGGAGAAAACCCTCTGCTACTGTAAAGTTTGGACCAAAATTCAAAAGTTGTATCTGCTAATTTCAAAGTCTTGAAGATCAGCAAAATTGTAAACAAGGAAAGAATTTTGATAATTTGAGAAGATTCTGTCCTTATGTATCAATGAATCATTTAGAAGAATAACACCCCATTTAGTTTTCTACAATCCTCACATTTCATGACAAAATATTAATGAAGTTGCTTTTAAAAGAAATGGCTGCAAATATTTAATATTTCTCATCTGAAAGAAGTATAAAATATGACTCAAAGCATGAGAGCCCTTACACATCAGTTGATTAACTCCTGGTGGTTTTAAATGGAGCTTCTTGTTATGTCACCTAAGGTCATAAGTGTTCTTAGTTATATCAGCCGTGAACTAAAAAAATTGAAACCTCTGTTCTTTGTATCTTTAAAAAAAAAAAGAAAAAAACAGATTTCTATTTTTAGAAGCCAGGAACACTCCCCTTTTTTTTTTTTTTTTTTTTTTTTTGCTAAAACCAGAATTGCATAGCGGTAATCTTTAATACAATATGACCTAATGTTTCTTCCAGGAAAAAAAGGAGCTTTAGCAACAAGTTCATGCTGCATGGAATACTTAATTTTCATGACATTTGCTAAGTTTTTTAAAAAAAATAAAAGTTTAGAACACAAGACAGGCATGTGGACTATTTGTAATAGAATTTAAAGGGGTTGAAGTTCATCCTACAGAGCAGAGGAAGCCTTTCTGCAGACTATTTTAGATAGAGTTTGTTGTTCTAAGAAATACAAATATAGCTTCATTCCAAGTTTATGTTTGTACTTTTAGCAGGGCCAGAAAGTTCTCAGCAAAGTCCTGTTCACAGGGAAAATATTCTTTCCATGTTTCCTAAAATTTTCACTTTCTCTTTATGTATTTTATTTCTGTCTTTGTGAATGCTGCCATTATGCCAACTGACACGTAAGGCCTGAGTCACCACTCTTTTACATCAATGTTATCTTTAACTTCAATAAGGTATACCGGCGTACAGTTGGTGTGAGAGAGGGGAGAATCAGGCCCCGAGTTTGCAAAGTGTTTTAATTGGCAAAGGAAGCAGTAATGTCTATTAACTGTATTAACCAAAGGGTGTAATTATCTGGATTTTGGGTGTGTCTAGATAGTTTGTCACAATTGAACATGCAAGACAGAACTTTATTACTAAATTCTAATTTGTGGAGTTATGACAATTCATTAAATGCCATAACTCTTTTTCCTTCTCCTCTATCCTA